TATTTTTTTTAAGGCTGTTTTAGGACCAGTTGCACTGGATATGGCGCGGTCTACTGATGATCATACAACAATTCACTATGCCAGTCAAGTACTGACAATTGCAGTTTTGTCAATAATTCTGACTGCTCCAATTGGCGCAATCGCAATACAACATTTAGGCCCTGTTCTTTTAACAAGAAGCAAAAGAGAGGAGAGTGGTAATGAAGTTGGGCAGCCTCGTGGGCAGCAAAGTACAGAGCTGCAAATGATCAATTGAGTCTGCAGCCAGGTAGCTAATGGTACTTTGGTACTTATTCAATTCCAAGCCGCATGTGAATCAGTCGCACCTCAAATCGTAAAGGGGAGTAAAATGAAAGACTTCCATATGGTCCCTTCAAAACGGGCACTCGATTCTAAGCTAGACCCCTACTTTTGGGTTTCAAAATCAGAAGAATAGGTGCAGCTTAGAATAGGGTAAGTAAAGTACAGTATGTAGCTGCGTTATCAGTTTTTAGATTGATGTACTTATTATCATCATTTTAAAGTAAATTTTTAGAATTATTTTTCCCTTGGGAGAGAACAGTTAAAAAATTGTGATTTCTTGCTGTGATATCTTTTTTTTTTTTTTTTTTTTTAACTGTTCTACTTATATGTCTTTATTTTAAAAGAAAATTATTGGCTTGTAGGGTATCATTTTTCTGGAGAATGTTTACTTACTTTTAGCATCTATTATGATAGTGGTTACCACAACAGCCAAATTTTTCTGACTTTACTTGTATCTTTTCTATAGTTATAAGCTAAATGGTAAGTATGTAGTCTGACCAAAAATTGACTGACTAAAAAATGTTTTTCATGCTTGACTGATAAATGTACAGTTGTGCTTAGCAGGTATACATTAATAATTAAGAGATAAAACTAGTACTGTACATGTAACACAAGATCATATATATTTTAATTAGCTATAATAATTCTTTTAAAATTTTAACTATGCCAAGAAATCTTGGATAGAGATTAAAATTGATGATAGACACAATTAAAAAGAACATGGCGACAATCATTGTTTAACGGTTGTAGGGACTATCAATAAAACATGGGCCACAGAGATCTAGTATACCGTCTTTTTCAATGAGAATCTTCGCGGTGTTAGCACAGGCTTGTGCACAACTGGTGATGAAACTGCAGAGAAAATATTATTAATGATAAGGCAAGATAGAAAACTTTCAAATACTCTAACAAAGTTCTCCTTACTGGGCACCAATTTGTTTTCATCTGACGGTTCTTCATTTAAATTTGAAACTATATGAAGAGATCCACATCCTGATTTTCGTCTCTTCTGAAGTTTCCACAGTGCATATTGATTATCTGAAAGAAATCAAAATACTGCATCAAGAACACACACAGTTCCTTTACCTGCTAGTGAAGTTAATTGTAGTTCTTGAAGCTAAGTTCCCATTTCAAGTAGGTCAGACAAGGGATAAAAACTTACACATCTCAATAATATCAGCTTTGCTCTCAGGCACCTTGTTATTAAAATCTAAAGACATAAACATAGACAGACAAATTTTAATTACGCTGTCCAATAAAATGTAAATATTTTGTGATTTAAGAATTTATTAGAAACTTTATTTTACCTTGTTGTGTTGACGAGTCTTGTGGATGTGGCGTGTAAATCCCAGATGTATCCTGTATCTCTGTTTCCTTGACATTTGGTCTCAGTGACCCATCATCTTTGTGTCTAGTGCAGACAGAATTAAAGGGCAAAGAACTGTCATTGATTAGGATTCCATCAACTCCACCCCTCAAAGTTTTGCTATAAATTTTTCTGTGACACGTCTTTGAGGTATCACCTGTCCTTTTCTTCTTCAAATTGGTTCTCTCAGGAGAGGTGTGTTGGCCCCCATGAAGCACAAGATTACTTACAGGAATGTTTTCTGCTCCATTATTATCTGCAGTTTCCAGATTCCTTAATAAACTCTTTGCAGTTCTCTTTGAAATGAGAGAGCTACATGAGGAATTTCTTTCTTTGTTTTGATTTCCCTTTACCAACTGAAATCTTTTGGTACTACTAGTACTTGAATAATTCAGATTTTCAAGTGAAGTTAAAGTGTTGAGTTTGGACGGTGTGTGTTCACACCCACTCTCCACATCATTGAGTGTTGATTCTAGTCTCTTATATCTAAAGGTGTTTTCCGAGTTTTCACACTGTCCTAAATTTGATATTGATTCATCAACTTGGTTCTTGTTAAATTTTAGGATTTTATCCAAATTTTTACCTAATTTAGATGGGTTATCTGAATCTTCATTAGTGCTTTGACTACTCTGCTTGTTGCCAGATACGATAGCAGCACAGTCTTTGTCAATAACTCTACCTTCATTTTGAGCCAATTTATCATCAGAAACACTGTCTTCCTGTAGAAATGAAATTTTTTCTTTTCTGAGCTGTCTCAGTGATGTTTCTGGATCTATTTTGTATTTGGGGCTAAAGTCATCATCTGAGCTTTGACTACTCTGCTCGTCGTCAGATTCAATTGCAGCACAGTCTTTATCAATATCGCTGCCTTTCACTTGAGCTAATTCATCTTCAGAATTACTATCTTCCTGTAGTAATGATACTTTTCCTTTACGGAGATGTTTCAGCGATTTTCCAAATTCTTTTTTATTTTGAGGGCCAACTCCTTTATCAGATCTCTCACAACCATGTTCATCATCAGAGGCAGAGTCTTTCTGACTGCCTTCATCGCAGCTGACTTCATTATCAGAGCTCTCACTACCCTGTTCATCAGACGTAGTTGCACCAGCAGAGTCTTCCTCGCTGCCTTCATCATTATCTTTACTTGCAACTTGTGACACTTCATCTTCAGTGATACCAAGCTCTTGCAATAATGATACTCTGGCTTTTCTATACTCTTCGTCTGCAGACTTAAACTTTGGGTCAACTTTTATTTTTAAAAAATCAAGGAAACGTATTAGATATAAATTAAGATAAATCAATTAATAAATGATGACTCCAAAATTGAAGTTGTTTCTTTCCTACCAGCAAATGTTTCAAAAGAGATTTCTTCTGTGTCAGATTCCTCATGAAGAGAGTTGTGAACCTAATCGACAAAAAGTACAGTGAGACCATTTAAAGCAATCCAGTTGTATTTATATTTTATTTCATATTTTACCTTATTTTCGAGCTTCTCAAAGAAGCTGCTCCATTTAGAAATTCGATGTTTCATAGTGTCTTTTCTTAGTAATGGTGAATCGTTCATTTCAAGTTGCCTAAAATTAAATGAAATTGAATAATGAAGTAAAAATAATTTGGCGGAAGACATAAATTAAAACTGAAAACTACAACATATACTTTATACCGCCCGCTTACATGACAGTTCTAGGCATGGCGAAGATATATTTTATAAATAAGGAAGAAATTAAACAATTATTTTAGAATTCTTGAAAATAGATGTTTGAGGTGTTGGTGTTTGGGATTCTAAGCATCATTTCAGGCGTGCCGCTTCATGCATGGACTCCATGCTTAGGCTAATGCTTTCGCTTGATCAAACTTAAATAAATAATTCAAACAGTCAACCCAATTCAATTTCAAACTTTAAATTCAAACAATAATGAAGCAGCAACCGGTAAGCAGTTACAGCTAACAACACAACACACCTGGCAATAAGCAAGATTTAGGTATTCACAGAAAATAGAAATGCGTTTGTCAACTGTTCCGGTTCAACAAAAAAACAAAACATAAGCAGACGAGACGAGTAGTGTTGTCATTCTACGTTGACAAGGCACGGGCTTTTCGGACAAATCCAAAATGGTGGGTAGTTGAAATGGCATGAAATCTTCCCTCCGTTTTAAGGGGCGTAGGTGGTGACGGTGTTTCTTCGAAAGTCGTCGTGTTCGATCGCGTGTGATCCGACAGAATGGCGAAGAAGACTCAAAAGCGGGGTCGCCCCTTCAAGAAGAAGCGAGTGGCAAGTCGTGCCCCAACAGCCTCGGCCCCAGCGAAAGCTACTCGGGCAGTGACAGGTTCAAGTTCAGGGCCAGGGGCTGGTGTTGAGCCATGCCTCATCCCATGGCCCTCACTGCGACGGGTGTCCAGTGAGGCACTGCCTCGCATGGGAACAGTGAAAGAGTGTAAGGATGAGGAGGCGGGCATACGGATTCTTGGATGCGAGGATTTGGATGCTCTTCAGCTTGAGCTAGAAACTCTGCTCAGTTCTGTTGTGGTGCGCTTGTCTCAGATGAATGATCAGCTGACTGTTCTGAAAAGTTTGGAAACGGTTCCTTCGGGTAGGGGGCGTAAACAGCGCAAGACACGTGCTGTTATATCGGCCCCAGCTCCATCACCAGCTCCTACTCCACCCAATTCTGACGACAAGCTGTCAATAAGCCGGCCACCTGTCCAAGTCCCTATAAAGAAGTTGGGAAAAGTGCCACCCACTGCTCCATCTCCAAACTCTTCCCCACCTCCGTGCAAACGTTCAAAAATGCTTAAGAAAAGACCTGATGTTGCTCCTAAGACAAAGCCACGTGGTAAACAATTAGAGAAGGATTTTGTGTCACACAAATTCTGGAATGCCCTTGATCCGTATTGTTGCGATATCTCAAATGATACTTACAATGTAATCTGCGATACCCTGAGTCAAAATCAAACTGAGGTCCCATTATTGTATAACATACCTCCCCTAGGCGAGCATTTTACAAAAGAATGGGATTTGAAAAATTTAATGGAAAATCAGGATTCCTGCACTGCCTCTTCTTCGGCTTCTTCCCCGACAACATCTAACTCCCCTGTATCTCCTAATACTGCTCGTACCTCTGAGAGTATTGGCAGTGCAATTAGAAGGAAATTTCGGGAATGTTCTTTGGCCCTTAAGCGGACTCTTTGTACAAGTGCTGAGAGACTCCCTCCACCTGTGTCCCCTCCTCCAACACCAGCCACCAGTAAGCTGATGGCAGCCCTTTTGGGAGAAATTCCCCCTCCAGTTGTACCTTTACAGGAAAGCAAGGACAGTAATGTCATAGTAAAAGTTGAAAAAGAGGAAGATGACAAAACATCTTTGAAAACATCTCGCCCAAATTCTGTTAGTAGTTCAAGCACCAGCAGTGACATTCCACGAAAGCACCAAAGGAGGTGCTTGGACAGAAAGTTCCGTCTGGAGAAGGAGGCACTGGGGGAATTTGAAACTTCCAGTAGAAGTGTAGTTCCCTCTCAGAGTGTATTAGAAGAATTGAAAAGAACCCAAGCAGAACTGAAGTTAGTTGTGGACCATAACAGCTGTACCCTGGTAAATCTAACAAATATTATGGCCAAACAGTTCAAAATTCAAAATTTAAAGAGGAAGCTCCAAGAAGTTGATGACTCTGTCATTGACATTTATCACACTCGTACATCTGCTAAACTTGCCAAGCAAACAATTTCACAGGAAGATGTTGATCAGGCCTGGAAAACCCTGAAAGAAAGGGATCAAATTATCAGACAGATTGAATTTCTGGAGCATAAATGGAACTCAAAAACAGAGAGCTAGTACTGTTGTTTTTTTTCTTTGTAATGGTTTTAGTTTTTTCCATGCAAGTTTGGCACTTAAATTCAACTGTCATAACACCCGAGAGTTTTGAGCAAACTGTTAAATTTTTGGTGCAATTTTTAACTGTAAATTTCTTGATTCAACATTATTCTTGTATTCATTTAAATTGGATTCGTTGTGTCTCGTGATAATTCCAAAGTATAGGTAGTGGACCTTCATTGAATTATAGCGTCTAAAACTTTATGTGTCTAGTATGTTGTGTGTGCGTTATATTTTTTTTTTTGTATAAATGTCCTTATGGCTGATGAGGATGCAGATATGTGAGAACAACCCTAGATGTAGCTTATCTCTTTGTACCTTAAATTCGTTTCTCATGTAACTCATTCTTCTCTCTCATAATTTTTTTTTAATACTGTAGTAACTTTGAGCTTTACTTTTGTGCCATTGTTAAAGATATCTACGGGTTACAAAACTTCACTCTGTTTGAAGTACTTTGTTATGAATGGCATTGTTCTTTTATTTCCTTTGTTATTTCTTATCTCATATGGATTAGGACTAGCAATTTAAAATTGCTCATGTAAAGTACAAGTTACAACTTTTTTCTATCTGCATTTTATTCTACTCATTCTCATCTCATGCAATAAGTGAGAAATCTAAGTTGTTTTTTTTGTTGTTGTTTGTTTTGTTTCTTTATTTTTGTCTATCTCCAGGGTGAGGGAAGATTAATTTCTCCTTTCCAAGCAAGAAAATTGTCTTGTGTACTTTTACAAAATAATTGTTGCAAAATGCTGCCTTATTTCTTTTATTTATCCGAAGCTTTTGTGAAAATTGGCTTAGGTTTTTATGTTGTTGCATTAAAAATGTGTTCTAGTGTCATGTGGAAACAAAAATTTTGCACAATATTATTTATCATATATGTTTTATGGGGTATATTAGGTATAAGCATTCCACCTAAAAGAGTTGAGGTTGTATTGATTTTTGCTCAATTGGAGAAGAAAGATATTGTCAGCTCTCACTTAATTTTGTCTAGTCAAACTTGATCTTGCTGATTGTACAATTATCAGAGACGTTTGTTTGGGCATTGGATAGGAGTGAAAAATCTGACAGTGTCACCTATTTGGTGGTGTGCAGTTATGTTTGCTTATGTACCTGTAACTCTATTACAAAAATAAAAAATATCTATGTTATCATAATTTTGGTTCTTCTTTACTCCTATTCCTGTGTTATCATTGGTGTTCTTTCAAAAATTTGTTATTAAATCGGTTGCATCGATGTTACAAAACTTAACTGAGACCTCAGGAGATGAGATATGTTAAGGATTCAGAGAATGAAGTGCTCTCTTGAATAAATTCAGTTTACATCAGATTATCAGAGAAATGATGTAATGGCACTACTGCAGAGCAAGAGGTACATCTTGTGACTAAGTAGCTGGCATACCATATTTCTAATGGGATGAACAACTAAGAAATGTAGAACAAAAAATATGTTACTCAACTCCTAAATTTTCTGTTTTTAGCATGGAAGACTCAAGGTGAAGACAACCAAGGAGCAGGAGGAGGAGAAGCGACAGAAACGTGCTCAGAAAGTCAAGCAGTACAGAGCGGCATTTGGCAGGATTGTTGAAAAGGTAACGGACCCCAAAACAAAACAAAAATAAAGAAACTTTAATGTGTTTAATTTTTGATAAAAACAAACAAACTTGTGAAAACTATGTTTTTTAAAATTATAATTATTATAGAGGCAAGCGGGTGAAAAGGATGAGGAAGGACTTCAAATCTCTCAGCAAATCTTAGAAATGATTCCCGATATCCACTCGTTATGGAACTACCGAAGAGAAATTTTGGAACACCTAAAGGAGGTTGTGTGAGTAGTTCCTGTCGTGCCTGCTATTCTAGGACTTTAAATGGCTGACCAGTTCATTTGTTTACCCACTTAAGTTTTGCGTGTTGCAATCCTGAGCAGGAGTGAGGATGAGCTGCAGAGGCGCTTGGAGTCGGAGCGTTTCCTTACTGAGACGTGCCTTCGTGCCAATCCCAAGTCCTACTGCGCCTGGCACCACCGTTCCTGGACCATGGACCACATGCCCCGCCCGGATTGGCAGCGAGAGCTCACCCTTTGCACTAAATTCCTCAGCCTGGACGAGCGCAACTGTGAGTACAGTCAATTCTCGTTAGTGCGACGCCCGGATACAACGATTACCCCGTTATAACGATTTTTTTCCGTTGTCCCATGTCATTTGCATGCTTTTGTATGCTAAAAATCCCGTGTATAGCGAATCCCGTTTATAACGAAAAACCCCTTAGAACGACGGGTTTGGGGCGTCCCTAACGAAAATTTTTACCGGATTGAACGATTTTTAGTGCAAACTCGCCCGACTTATGGGCTAAAACGGGTCGCTCGAACCTGGATAAACAGTGCCAACTACATAATTGTACAAAGGAACCGTAGTACATGATATTGGGTTAGAATATAAGCCATTGAATCAAAGTGTAAAATATTTTTACTGTACCGGGTGTTGCATAAAAGACACAGGTGCGGGCGGGTTTGCCTACCCAAGGGGCTATGGCGCCTTACGGGCAGAGCGGGTAGGCACGCCCGCCCGCACCTGTGTCTTTTATGCAACACCCGGTACAAACAGTTCAAAATTTACAATAGAATATTGTACAATAGAGTAATGTAACAGCCAACATACTGTCAAGTAATAACATGACCTAAATTTAAGATTTGGTAAAGAAGTCACTTATTTTGAAACATCACAAGGGCTAACTTTTCTATGGAAATTCGGGGTATGCTTAGTGTAATAAATGTATAAGGCACTGTTTAATAGCTTATGGTAGCTTACACGTACTAAAACTCTGCTAAATTGTCGGTTTTCCCGGATACAACGATTTTTCACCAAAAAAACGGTAAAATCGTTATAACGGGGAAATCCGCTACTACGATTTCCCCGTTATAACGATTTGGTCCCCTGTTGCCCGCTGAGTCGCACTAACGAGAATTGACTGTACTATAGTATCTCTTGGACAGAATTTTCAAAGTATGAAAATTCTATTCGAAAAACATCCCGTTTGAACCCACCGCATATCTCAACCCGTGACAACTTTGCAGTCCACTGCTGGGACTACCGGCGCTTCGTGGTCCGCCGTGCTCAGGTTCCGGCACAGAAGGAGCTGGACTTCACGGACGAGAAGATCGCCGTCAACTTCTCCAACTACTCATGCTGGCACTACCGGAGCAAACTTCTGCCCGTGGTGCAGCCCGACCCGATGGGTGTGCGCCCTGTCACGGAGGCCAAACATAAGGAGGGTAAGAGTTCGACCGCGCGTACTTTCAGGTCGGTGATTCGCGTTTCACCTCTAACATTTCTTCTCGGCTTTTGGCCTGCAGAGCTGGAGCTGGTGCAGAACGCGGCTTTCACGGACCCGACAGACCAGAGCGCGTGGTTCTACCAGCGCTGGCTGCTGGGGCGCAGTCGCCCCTGCCAGGCCATTACCCGCGCCCTGCTCTCGACGGGGAGGTGCTTGGCGACCCTGGTGCACCCAATCCGCGCGCCGCTCGGTCTCCAGTTCCTGATTGGGGCCGGGAGGGAACCTCTGGCAGGAACGTGGCGAACCGCTGATGGGCAGTCTTCCAGCAGTGTGTGGGTGGGTAACACACACGTACCACGAACCAGCCCATGAATCCTCGTCCGTGTTTCTCAAATTCGTTCGGCAGTTAAGCTTGTTGCTGGTTTAAATTTTTTTACATTACAATCTCTTTTCAATTCGGCAAATTACGGGAGCTCGGCGCCTGCGAGACCCGGGGTAGGCCAACCCGCAGTACGCGCATGCACTGCAGGCAAGATGTTGCCTACCTACCAGGCGCCATGAGAGCTTGCGTCGGCCTAACTTTGCAGTTTCGTAGCGGCGAATGACGGACGTACTTTCTGGACGATCCTAACACTGCCCACCGTCCCTCTCTCGCAGGTGTTCACGCCGACATTGCCACTGCCCCAACCGTTGCCCGGGCCTGTGTACCTCGGGCTGGATGTGGACGGGCACAGCGTCACCGCGGAGCTCGAGGTGTCCGCCGACGGCTTGAGCGCGCTGCTCGCCGTGGCCCCAGACTTTGGCGCGCCCCTGTCTCCGGCCCTGTCCTCGGTCATGCTGGAGGAGTTGGACGCGTGCAAGCAGCTGCTCGAGTTCGACCCTGATAGCAAATGTGAGTGGCGGGGGTTGTTGCGAGTATAGGTTCTAATCCCAGTGCCGCCCGGGTCGGCCGACTGACAAACGGCTACGGTGTTGCAGGGACGTTGCTCACGACGGTGCTGCTGATGCAAACCATCGACCGCCACGTGTACGAGGCAGAGACTATGCACACCTTGGACGAGCTGGTGGAGCTGGACTACCAGCGCGCCAACTACTACAGGGACCTGAGTAAGGATTTGGTCGCAGCACCTCTCCCATTCTGCGACACCGTGCGTCCACCATGTGATCCTTATCTGTTACCTTTTCGAATGCCTGCCAGGGAGTCGTCTTCTGGTCGAGTACACCTTAGAGCGCCAACGGGGTGACGTCGTGGACCTCACCGGGTTGTCGCTGACTGCCCTCTACCACGCGCCCCTGCTCGCCCTCGTGAAGACCCTTATCCTCAATGACAACCACCTGCGAAGGCCCCTCTCCCACCTGGCCGCTCTTCAGTGTTGCGAGGTAAACTCCATTTTTGTTGCACTTGTAGAAAATATAATATTCAATGAGCGCAATTTTGTATAAACTGACACCACAATTATTGGTTTTAGTCTCTGTCGCTGGACCGGAATGAGGTGTCCTCCCTTGCTGGGTGGCCGGCTATGCCTAGTTTACGCAGCCTCTCGCTACGGGAAAACGCCCTGGATGATTTGGAGTGTTTGGCAACCTTGTCTGCCTGTCCCTGCTTACAAATCCTCGACCTTAGAGGCAATCCTGTTGCTAAGGGAGACCAAAAAGAATTCCAGAAGAAGGTGCTTGCGATCCTGCCTAGCCTGAGCACACTCAATGGAGAGCATATCTAGCCCGCGCTACCAAAACTAGTATCAACACTAATTTATAAGACTAATTTTCAAATTGCCTCTACTGTATTTTTTTGTAATAATAATTGCATTCCTGTTCTACCGGTGGTGACCGAAAAGCTCCGTCTTCCTTGTAGATGTACTGTACCGCATGCACGTGCTCGGGCGGGTTTGCATATCCTCTTAAACCATGGCCGCGTGGCTCCGAGTATGCTACCCGCCCAAAACGTGTGTTTTCGGTACAGTATATCTGAATTGGATGAGGAGGATTTTAAGCCACCTGGTACCTGTGATTTGTTAAGGATATTTATCGAGGGATATCGCTGAGGCATATGCCATAAGTCATCAGTACACATGTTATTTTCTATCACTGTAGTGATTTAGGGTAGTGTGAAATTTAAAACCACCACACGGCTTGTGGTTCCTAATTACAATAATTGTATTTTTCCAAACTGTTCATTGAACTATTGAATAAAAATCTGAAAGCAAAGACCGAAGTGTGCAGATGTAAGGAATCAGCTGGGGGTGGCCGAAGGGCTGCAGAAGAGGCAAGGGCGGGGGTCGGACGTGATCTGGGCGGCGCGCCCACAGCGCCGCGGCCTCAGCCCTGCCAGTCTGTCCCGAGCGCGCTGCCGGGTTCTAGCGTGGACCAGCGGGACGGCGGACTGTTCGTCACGGGCACCTCCCCGTCGTCGACGAGGAAGTGGCTGTCAAAAGAGGCCGGGCCGGGCGCGAGGAGCGTCGTGCCTCTCGAGGAGAACAGTGCAGCAGGGCACCTGCGTGTGACCAGTACCAGTCTGAGGTGAACGCTGCGACGTTCAGGGCAGCTCGAGCCGGGCGAGCCGCCGCGTCCGTACCCGTCCCCCGTCCTGGTTCTCGAGGTGAGATCCACATGGCCGGGCCTTTGAGGGTGGTCGAAGGCGGTTGGCGAGAGCGCGGGGGTGGCCTGGGGGGTGGCCCGGGCAACACCCTCTGCCGCAGCGCCGCGGCCGGGCGCTCTAGGGCTTCCCTCTCGGAGGCGGGCAAAGCCTCCCCGAGGCCGGCCTACTGTACTCGATCACGATCCATTTCGCCAACTCGAATGGAAAGTTCGTGACATTGGGCAGGAGAGTGGCAGGACTGTGGGCCATAAGCGGGCACCCTCTAAGTGACACGGAACCGACGTGGGGCGACCCCCGCCCCGCGCCTCGTGCCATGCGTTCCCCGCGCCGCCGGGAGCAGCGGGAGCCCAGCAACTTGGGACGACCGCCACGAGGTTGTCTCCCGGGTGCGCGACGACGGTGGTCAGCCAGCTGCGCTCCCGAAAGTCGACAAACGTCATTGCGCTTACCGCATCTGCAGGCTCTGGTGGTTCTTGTGGCCGAGCGGGCACGGGCGCCGCAGTGTGAGCAGGGCAACACAAGGCGGCTGGCGCGTTGCCCGACCCGGGCCCGGCCCTGCGCTGACCCGACATGTGTTGGACCCGGGACCCGTTCGGTGTATGGGATCCATGTGGAGACGATTTGCGCGTTTCGTTTTACAGGAGGTTTTGCGCTTATTTCTATCGTCGAGCTATATCTGCCCACAGGATCCTGGAAAGGGCGAGCGGGCTGCACCGGCCACGGACGCACCATGCGTTGGAAACGCCCCCGCCAGGTCCCCTGCTCCAGACACGACTCTGCCTGGTGGACTTGGGTGGAATAACATTATTCCATTCACCTTTGCGTTCAATTTGACGTGCAGCTGTGATAAGTGATACGATACGAGAAACTGCAGTGTTAATTGCGGGTAAATAACCAAAATACGGTTGTTGCCGTTGAGACGTGCGTTTCCCGGACGCCTCTGCTTCAAGAGAGCGACGTCGACGCTGTGTGGGCACAGTTGTATCTTCAATTTATTTCTTCCACCAGGTGAGCCATTCCGTATGATTGTTCTGCAACATCCATACTTTTCCACATGGGCGTGTTAAGTTGTGCTCACGCGAATACGCGCAAGCCTATCTTTACACGCCCTTTTTCGACAGGTGCATCCTATACACATGTCCCTTGTCACACGAGGGTCGTCATCATATCCTTAACAGATCTCTGTTGGCATACTACCACGTCCGCCGTCACCCCACGAGACGCGTCCCGAAGTGAAAGGTCAAACTCTACTTCCCGACCATCGCCTCCTCCCACCCCCCTCGTGTGCCAAGAGACGTAGTACATTTCTTCCTGGCCAACGTCTGTAACGCACCGATCTGGGGGATTATTAAGTCTGCTGCTGGCGGTGTGGCCGCGGTCGTGGTGCGGGTTGGGTTGCACAAGGGCGGCAGGTCCGCGGGGCGTGGTGGGGCGGGGCGGGCTTCGACCCCATTGTCTGCCGGCGCGGGGCGTGCCAAGTGGACGGCAGGTCATGCACTTGGACCGCCGCGGACCGCCCGGGACCGCCGCACCACCCTCTTGGCATTTGAAAATGAATTTGGCGGTGTATAGTACACGGCTTCTCGCCACCCGCCCCCGCAGCTCGATTCATCCCGAGCGAGTGCGGGCGGGGCGCCGCTCTTGACCTTGGCCGAGGCGAGCTTGGGGCTGGTCAAGGAGAAACGCTGGGGTGGGGCACCTCTTCATACACCGTCCATCACGCCGGCCCGGTATTCGAACCCACGACCCTCTCAGACTATCTGGCCTGAACAGCACTCTGCTTTGGGGAGGCGTGTGCGGGCGTGCGTGCGGGATTCGCTTCAGCTTCAGCTTCGCGCACCTGCCGCCGCGCCTCGCGCCCGCGCCCCTGCACCGCTTCAAAGTTGCGTCGACGCCAGGCTAGAGTGACAAGTGGCAGAGGGAAAAGACTCGGCGCATTGTGCTCTATTCCTGTGGAGCCAAGCGCCTTTGGCAAAGCGCCCCCGCGGACCGCTTCGGTATCGGGGCGGGGCGGCCAGTGTCAGCGTACAACGGCCACCTTCGGCTCTGCGCAGGATGCCCCAGCAGGGCGTTGACGGGGGTGGCGCCCCGGCGCCCGGCACCCGGAGGCCCTCCCTGAGGAGGCTCTCGATGAGGAGGCGCTCTTCGGCGGGCACCCCGACGGAGAAGGCCACCTACTCCTTCCTCGGCAACCAGACGCTGACGCCGCGCGCCGTCGCCCGGCTCTCCCTCGCCCACGTCGAGGCCGGCGCGCTGGTCGGCGGGCCCGGGGCCGGGCGGGGCGCTCGCGGCGGCTGGGACAACCAGCTCGACTTCCTCTTCTCCTGCATCTCGGTGTCCGTGGGCCTCGGCAACGTCTGGAGGTTCCCCTACCTCTGCTACAAGAACGGCGGAGGTGAGCATGCTGGTGCTGCGCGGGTTCGACTCCCGACCCGACGCGGCCCTGTAGTTGGGCTCGACTGCTGTCAGCCAAGGGTGCGAGAAAGAGGGGTGCAAGGAGGGCGGGCCCAACACCTACACGAAGTACTGTCTCATAAGCACTCGTGGTGACTGGCGCGGGCCCGCCCTCCCTGAGCCAGCCACCTGCAGCGGTTGTCAGCCTGCCATGCTGTTGATACTATGCCGCATGCCAGGCGTGCACCTCGGTTGCCTACCCGCATGGCGCTCGCACTCGATACCGCTAGTGCTCAACGACAAGTAACACCATCTTTGTCTTTCCGTCCCACAGGGACATTCCTGCTCACGTACTTCGTCGCCATGGTGTTCTGCGGCATCCCCATGTTCTTCCAGGAGGTGGCCCTGGGCCAGTACCTCGGTGCGGGGGGGATGACCCTCGTCGGCACACTGTGCCCCATCCTCAGAGGTACGCTTGGCGGGAATAACTCGCCGCGTTCGCTAAAGACCAGAGACCACTAGGTTTGCCAAGGAGCAAAACGTGGTTCAGTTCCTATGCACTAGTTTTCTTTGGCATTTGTAGCAATGTTTTGATAGCGGAGTGAGTTTCCTGAGCGGCACACTGTCTGGTCGCAGGTACGGGCTACGCCACCATGGCGATCGTGTTCCTGCTGGACGTGTACTACTGCGTGATCGTGGCCTGGACGCTGTTCTACCTCATCGCCACGTTCACGGTGCTGCCCGGCTTGCCGTGGGAGTCGTGCGGCAACTGGTGGAACTCGGAGCAGTGCTCGCGTGGCGTGGGCGGCGCCAACCGGAGCCTGGACTTGTCGGGCCCGTCGTCGGCGGCGCTGACAGACGGGTCCGGCGACGGGGACCTGCTCACCGCCCTGGGGAACCAGACCCTGCGCCGCAGCACGCCCGTGGAGGAGTTCTGGGAGTAAGTCCTCGGCGGAATCAGGCCCAAGCGCCGTCAAAAGTCGATTGACGTCGACGTCGTCGTGTCGACGTGAATTGCCTGAATTGGCGGTGACGGTGACGTGGTTGTGCGGCAGCCGGCGCGTGCTGCAGCTGAGCGCGGGCCTGGACGAGCTGGGCGGCATGCAGTGGGAGCTGCTGGGCTGCCTGCTGCTGGGGTGGCTTCTCGTCTACCTCATCATCTGCCGAGGCCTGCACCAGAGCGGCAAGGTGAGTGTTTCGTGTTTATTGGGAATCGATGTACTCCGTGAATCAAACAGAAAATATCAGAAAATATTTTAATGTGATCCGCGCTATTTTACCAAGCTCGTAAAGAAGGGGAAGAGTTTATTCGGTGGATAAAATGTTTGTGGTACACCTGACAACTTGTTCTCTACTCATTGCCATCTCCCTTGGTGCTCCCGGACAGATCGTGTGGTTCACCGCGCTCTTCCCGTACGCCATCATGCTGGTGCTCGCCGGGCGCGCCGTCACCCTCCCCGGTGCCGTCGACGGCCTCGTGTTCCTTCTGGTGCCGGACTGGTCCTCCCTGCTGTCGGCCGGGCCGTGGATCGACGGCGCCACGCAGATCTTCTTCTCGTACTCGATCGGCGTGGGCACGCTGCCCGCGCTCGGCTCCTACAACGCCTTCCACCACAACTGTCACAAGTGAGGGGGTCGCGGATCCGCGCGTTTTGATTTTAAAGAAGCGCGCGCTCAGCGCTTGCGGACTTCCGGTATCGAGTTGACGACGCTTTTGTCCCCAGGGACGCCATCATCACGTGCGTGGTCAACAGCCTCACGTGCCTGCTGGCGGGCGGCATCACCTTCTCCATCCTGGGCTACATCGCGCACGTGCAGGGCAAGGACGTGTCCAGCGTGGTGTCCAGCGGCCCGGGGCTCGTGTTCATCACCTATCCGGAGGTGGTGCAGCTGCTGCCCGGCGCCCCGGCCTGGGCCTTCATCTTCTTCTTCATGCTGCTGGTACGGTCCTCGACGGCGGCCCCCTTTCGCCGTCCTGGGACGTGTCGCCGCCGCCGCCCCGCCCCTCGTCGACATGCAGTGAATGATTTTCTGTTGTCCTGGACAGATCCTGGGCGTGGACAGCGAGTTCTGCAACGTGGAGTCGTTCGTGACGGGCATGGTGGATAAGTGGCCGGAGCAGCTGCAGCCCCGCCGGAAGCTCTTCACCCTGGCCGTGTGCTCGCTCATGTTCCTGCTCGCGATCCCCATGGTGACGCAGGTGGGCCTGCTCGACCAGTCGGACCGAATCAAAAACCTATGGATGAATATTTCTTTCCGTCGGACCAAATAATCACGCATAACTCTTCACCTCTTCCCCTTCCTAGGGCGGCATGTACATCTTCCAGCTGATGGACATGTACGCCGCGTCCGGGATCTCGCTGCTGTGGGTGGCGCTGTTCCAGACCGTGGCCGTCTCGTGGGTGTTCGGCGTCGACCGCTTCGCCCTGTGCGTGCGCGAGATGACCGGCGTGAGGCCCGGCCCTTTCTGGCGCCTGTGCTGGCTCGTGCTCGCCCCTGCGGTCATGCTGGTCAGTCCTGCAGCCCCTGGAGCAACACCTTGAACACTGCAGTCCTGTGTATGTATGTACGACGAGCACTATGTATAAACTGCCCACAGGTCATCTTCCTCTGGTCCGTGGTGCAGTACCTCCCAATGCGCTACGGCGACTACGACTACCCGGGCTGGGGCGAGGCCGTGGGGCTGCTGATCTCCTGCGCGTCCATGCTCTGGATCCCCGGCTACGCCGTGTACTACATGCTCGCGACCAAGGGAACTTTTGCGGAGGTGAGCGTCGTGCCGGGGACGGGGCCTACCTTTCTTTAAATGAATAATCGTTTTCGTTTTGACCTCCCGTTTTCAAGACTTGGTCGGTCGCTGGGAAGTATGGGGGGCTGGTAGAGGCTGAGCGGTGATTCTCGTGTTTTGGTCTCTCGCAGCGCCTCGCGCAGGGCCTCACCGCGGAGGTGAAGCCCAACCTGGAGCGGCGGCCCACCCTCGTGCTGGAGAGGTCGCCCCTTGCGTCACCGACTCATCAGCAGGGGTCGCCCTCGGAAGCGCCCGACTGCAAGGCCGTGCTGCTGTGACGAGTGGGGCGTCGTCGTGAGATATCGCGACACCGTGTGTGTCTCTCTCTGTGTGTGTATGAGTGTGTGCGTAATCGCAATACTTCAACAGGACTATTTCTAGCGATTACCGCACGAGTGAGAATCTGGTCGTTTGTTCATAGTATTAAGCGTTTGATGATTCCAATATATTTTTTCTCTCCATTCTTTTTTTGTAATAAAACGGGCAATAAAATCACCATTTCCGAAATAAGGTGTCCGCAGCCCAGGCTGAACGAAATTGGTCGCGGGTCCTTACCTTTCTCCGCACATCACGCACTGCACAGCAGCGCCACCTCCCGGCTCGCATGCACAAGCCTGCACCTCCGTCCGTCTCGGCGCCGCGCCGGTCCGGTAGTGGTCGCCGCGCCGTGCCGTGCAGGGCTGCGGCCCGACAGGTCTCGCACTATTTTTAACCCATTCAAAACAGCAGCGGCGGCGGCGGCGGCGCTCGCTCCTCGTGGTGGTGGCGCGACGCGTACGCAGCGTACGCAGCACTGCGCCCCGCCGCAGGTGCGTGTGTTGGTGCGTCCCAGTCAATAGAGGTTCATGTAAAAACGGGTGACGTGAAGGTGTGAAGTTGTCGCATCCCATCCTACTCACTCACTCTGTCAACCCCGGTGGTGGCGGCGGGTGGCGGCGGCCGGCCGCAGTGTGGAGGGGGGAAAGGGCTTATCTGCCCTCGGCGGCGCGGCGGCGTGGACAGCTACGCTACGCAGCACAACGCACCGCACCGCGCAGAGGAGAGCGCCTTGGCCGGCGCTGTGTCGCAGGCAACTCCAACCCGCCGCGACCCTCTCTCTCTCTTATTTTGGGCGGTTTTTTATCTATCTCGTTTGTTCGCGGTTCCTTAACCTCCCGCGCGATACCCGGCGGGCGCCGTCACGTTGGCAGTCCTGCCGCATTGTCTGGGCCGGCGGGGCCGGCGGCTCGCCTGTTGGTGGCGGCAACCTGGTGAGGCGACCGCCGAGGCGTCGAGCCGTCATTTCTTCTGTTGACAAAGAGCGACGGACGCCCCGCCGCCATGGGTGAGACACCCGCCGACACTGACGCCACGGTCGGCGTCGTAGAGACCATCTTCTCGACCAGGGCCAAGCCCTTCCCCTGCCCCGTCGACGGCAAGATCGAGACGGTGCAGTTCTTGGAGGGGGCGAGCGGCGTCGTCTCGCTGGTTGGTGAGTCTAATGGCTGCATGACTTGCTTTGTGTCACCCAGACGCGTCCAAGACGCTGCTTTGTTCTGATCCGACCCACATTTATTGCCCTTCATTATCTGATGTCAATGGTAGCCTTCGTATCATGTGTTTCCTCGTTTCATGTTATCACAAATTTTCGGTGCTACTCAGCTCTAACAGCATAGTGGAAAACGCACTTTGGCCTGGAGTTTCACGTTCTGTAGCTTAGAATCCTAAAACGTGACAATCAAATGGCGTGGAAACGTTATTGCTTCGTCGTCTCACGCTAATATCGTTCCGGGTGTTGAAGGTGTCGATTAGAATCTTTATTTGTGAGTGGGTGCTTGCGTAATACGGACGCCGTACGCCCCGCCCAGCCGGACCGGCGGCGCACCAGCAGGGGGCGGAAGGGTTGACAGTAACACGATACGTGTTGGGACGGCCACCCCCACAGGAGGGGGTGCTGAGGCCCGGTGAACGAACACGGGCCGTGAACGCGTGATCGAACGGCCCCTCTTGTGATCGAACGGGCCCCATTACCTCTTATTGCGCGTTCGCTGCCCCGTTCGCCCATCACTTCGTTCGATTGTTCTCTGACTTTGTTCCCGAAAGCCCCCCTTCCTAGGGCGGCATGTACATCTTCCAGCTGATGGACATGTACGCCGCGTCCGGGATCTCGCTGCTGTGGGTGGCGCTGTTCCAGACCGTGGCCG